CTAAAGAAATATGTTTAACCAAAAATGAGTTTGTTATGTATACGTGGAACATAAACAACAAAGTGTTGGATAAAGTCAAACTAATAAGAATCCCCCAACATGAATAACCAAATGTACCCCCAAATACTGATCAAGTACACTGTATGGGAGAAGTAGCTTCCAAGTCAGCTTCACAAGTCTGTATATCAAAGCCAAATGAGACCCTTTATCAACCCTGTCACACCATGAAGCATGAGGCCCTGCTTGTCAACTCTTGAGGACCTTTGAAACAATTCCTATTTAGCCGAGAGGGGTCGTGACAGGGCACCTTCCCGTTTGTTAGGTTGACAACTGCAGCTTCACTGCCACGGTGCCGGGAGAGTGACTGACTCCCCAGGCCGGCCCAGGGTCACTACACCGCTGCAGCACTGCACAGGGGCTCCTGGTGAACCCAGCTCTGCAGAAGCCGCCCACGCAGGCACAAAAGAAGCACCCACTCGGAATTCCTGCAACTAAATCTAAGCTTAAAGGTACAATGAAAAATAAAAGAACCTGCTAGGAAGGGCAGTCTGTACCTGAAAAGGGAACATGAGACGACACTGCCTGACTCCCTCAGCCTCGGCCTGAGCAAGGGCTCACGGCTGCCTTTACTCTCTGTACAACTTTAACATCATTTACTGACGTGTTTCTGTGGAGAAAGTTTGACTTCACTTTGGTAGATTCAATTTTGCCTTAAAAATGGAAATGTCATACTAGTTTAGATAAACCACAAATTCTAATTTCTTTTGATCCTTGAAATAAATCTTAACTTGAATATGTAGCTGTGGGTATTTTACAATATTGTTGTGTTTTAGAGGCAACAATCCCTTTGGCTGTTGTTACCAGACTCCAACCCCATCTAGCACTCATAGTCCACTATCATAGTCCATTTTGTTCTCTCCCCAGTTTGTTCACCCCTACACCCCTCTCCTATTCCCATCTCGCTTGGCAGCCTCAGTTCTACAGTCAGATTTCTGATTTTATCGGATTCTTTGTTTTGTTTCTCTAAGTGCCCTGTATAAATCATAACACCAGGCATTTGTCTTTCTCCGTCTGACTTATTTTGCTTAGCATAATCCCCATCCATATTGTCACTGTGTGCATTTAATGAAATTAAAGATAATTCAATGAGAATAGAAACATTTATTGTAGTAGTTATTTATAGTAGCAAACACTGGGAACAAATATAAATGTCCACCAGCTTAAGGACGAATAAATAAACTCTGATATATATAATACGGTGCAACAAACTAAGCCAACGTGGATAAACAATATCAGCTAGTCTCAGAAATAGTTATCTCTTCACTCTGTTATAGTCTGCTTATTAGAAGTGAATCTGGTGGCCTCCCTGGTGAAGTAGGATTTAAAGTCTCAGCAGTATGAGCAGTATGAGGCTATCAGCAGCCATGACAGCATGAGTTTGATCCCAGGTCAGGGAGCTGGCACAGCAGACTACATGGCGCAGCAGACTTCTCCTGTCTCTCCCACCTGCTCCCCTCAGCTGTGTATCTCAAATCTACCAGTTCTGCTCCACTCCCTAACTCTGGTGAATAGTCTCACCCCCTCATAACTCTGGCCTACACCCCATTCTTGTATGCATAAATACAATAGAAATCTTTTCTTAAAAAAAGTGAATTTCTAAGTCCAGTTGATATCTTAAATGTTTTTTGAGAATACAGGTCAGTGGTGTCAGAACTACGCATGTGCTTTACAGATTTAGTATTATATTTGTATTGTTGTGCAACTGTAATGAATTCCAGATACTGGAACTACAAATCCCATCAATACCAAGGAGAAGCACACTGGGACATGAGGGTGGAGCTAAGCAGCCAGGTTAGGATAAAACTTGACATGTGGGCTCTGGGAGACTCTTAGCCTGGTGGTTTGCGGCTGGTCGTTTGGCTCTCGATCCGTTTTCAGTGTGCTTTTGGAGTCCAAGTCAGCAGAACTGGAGGATATTCTAGTTAACTTGTATTTCTCTCTTTTTCCCTGGGTTGTTCCTTTACCTTTCTCCTTGTAAATAAACCCATCATCGAACCTTTTTTATGTGTGTCTGCAGTATGATTGGATCTTAAGCGCATGGGTGAGAACCCACAGACAGGCAACTCAGTTCACACTGGGGTGCCCTGTAACATGACCATCACCACACCCATCTCCTGAGCTCTTTTTAGCTTGTAAAACTGAAACTCTATGCTTACTAACGCCCCCTCTCTGGCCCTCAGTCCCTGGCAACCACCACTTTACTTTTTGTCTCTACAAAGTTGACTACTCTATGTTCCTCATGTAAGTGAAATCATACAGTATTTCTGTGACTGTCTTACTTCACTATGTCCTCACAGTTCACCTAGGTTGTAGCATATGTCAGAATTTCTTTCCTTTTCAAAGGTACATTTATGCACATGACACATTTTCCTTATCCATTTTCTGTTGATAGACATTTGGGTTGCTTTCCTGTTTTGGCTACTATGAATAAAGTCGCATTTAATTGTTTCAGGTATATACCTGAAAGTAGAATTGCTAGATCAGATGGTAATTCTATTTTAAAATCTTTTAGGAACTGTAATACTATTTTCCCACAGTGGTTGTATCACATTATTTTCCCACAACAGTGCACAAGGATTACAAGTTTTCCATATTCTTGCCAATTCTTGTCATTTTCTGTTTTTTTTTTTTTTCCAACCCTGTGGGTGTGAGGTAGAAACCTAGTTATGGGTTTGATTTGCATTTCTCTAATTAGCAATGTTAAAATAATTTTTCATGTGCTTATGACCTATTTATATATCTCCTTTGGAAAACTATCCAAGATCTTTGGTCATTTTGTGTTAGGTTGTTTGGTTTTAGCTGTGGAATTTTAGGAAACTTCTAAATACTCAGGATATTTGTCATTTTTTTTAAAAAAAGATTTATTTGTGCATACAGAACTGGGGTACAGGCCAGAGGCTCAGGGGCGGCAAGAGGCTTCACCAGAGACAGAGTGGGGAACAGAACAGGCAGATCGGCCAAGTACACTGCTGAGGGGAGCAGCGGGTGGGTCAGGAGAGGTCTGCCACGCCATGTGGTCACCTCCGGGGCAGGCGGGAATCGAACTCATGCGGAAGTGGCTTTAGCTTTTTAATGCAGTGCTTTAACCCGCTGCACCACCAGGGAGAGCCTGGATATTTGTCATTTTTAGATACATGGTTAGCAAATAGTTTCTCCTGTTCTGTGCCTTTTTACTCTTTTAATTGTGTCTTTAATGCACAAGTTCTCAGCTTTTACAAAGGGTAACTTGTATATATTTTTGCTGCTGCCTCTGCCTTTGATGTCATCCAAGAAAGCACTGCCAAACTGAATGCAAGATATTTGATTTTTAATTACAGGTTTCTACTTTTCTTTCCCTCACTATTCACCAGTGTGGAATCAATCTCATTTTTTCTGTCCACTAAATCTATAAAGCACATGCGTAGCTCCAACTTTGACATACTTCACATTTTCCTTTTTCATTCTAATATCTCACTGTTACAGTTAACATGATTTGATTAAAAAATGTTGGAAGAATTTTCCTAGGTATCTGATTACTATAATTGGTATTATCTTACTGATTCTCTTTCTTAGCTGTTCTCTCGCATCTTAAAACTATGTATTCTGGTTCTGATTGCTGATGCACGAATTGGTTGGATGCACATGCAAATTGCATCTCTGTGAACAGTTACTTTAAATGTGTCAGAATTGTCCCTAGAAGATTTCCTAAATAAAATTTGATTCCAATCAATTTACCTAAATTCATTCTGAATTACCTCAGACTCTGTCTTTAACACATTCAGTATTTATGCAATGCTTCCTCAGGAGTGTTTCAAAGATATTGTTTGAAGATAGAATGAAGCATCCAAAAATAATTAACACAGTGGGCAAAGATAACGAAATGACAAAAGTGAAATAGAAGATAAAAATGTATAATCATTTTCAGCATGAAAAGTAACGATCAATTGAGAGTAAATCTTCCTGGGTTGGAGAACTGCAAACAGCAGCAGGCCCCATGTTTCTGAGTCGCAGTGTTTTATAAGATGGACAGGAGCCAGGATCATCACCGTGGAACATTATATGATCTGGGTACAGTTATGTTTCTATAATTGATTAGAATTGTCCATGGAGAATGTTCTTTGCTGCAATCCAAGGATTTCTTCAATGTTTCAGTTTCTCCAAAGGCCACTTGAAGGGTAATGTGTTTTTAGAGGAATGCATTTCTCTAAAGTATCAGAAAATAAGATTGAGGTTTTACTAAGATGTCCATAATATTCTCATTGCTTCTGCTAAAAACAGTGCCATATTAGAAGCCAGTGGCCTTTTTTCCCCCTCCTTATTTTTGGTTAGAGTTAGATTTCAGAGGTTGGATGTAAAAATAGGTGTTTCTTAAAGAAAATACAAGTATTTGCTTTTAAAAGGAAAGGGTTTATGTTTTTACTAAATATACGTAAATTGATTTTAATGCTTGTAAAAGCATGAGGGCAACATGATACCTAGGGAGATTGGGAAGAGTTGGGTGTTGCTTGAAATATTAAAGGAAGTACACAAATATTTTCAAGGTATTATAGAACTTGCTAAAAATGTCATTTCACTCTGAGTACAACATAGCTCACGTTCCAAACAATTGGTGAACATGCAAAGTTCATCTATGCTCTTCCTCTCAAATATTGCTCTATTTCTGATGGTCTCTTTTGCTGATCTGGATGTCAAAAAAGTTCTTGGCAAAACTGTTGTTTATCTTCGAAGCCAAAGGGGTGGAAGTAGACAGCCAGGAATCTCTTGCACTGGCTGTGTCCTTTGTGTGCCCACAATTATCCATTAGAACACATCACCAGGAAGCATCCTTAGAGAAGTTCCACCTAAGTAACTCCCAAACCCATCTGGGTGTTGAGTTGCAACTGCAAGTTTGCATGCACCTGCATTTGGATGGGTGGAAATACTGGAGCAGAAAGGAATGGACACAAGTGAATCTTTGGGCAAAAAGCTTTTATTGTTTTTGGTGGGGGTAGCTATGGTGGGCTGGCTCAGAGCTGCCTGCCCCATTGATAGATAAAATCAACCCTGAATGAGTTTATTTACAATTTATCACCTTGGACTTTACATTTTATTTATTCTTCATGGTTTCTTATAGTTTTTCTAAGCAGTTACTCATTTGACAAAACAGATAAAACACTTGCTATACTAGGCACTGTGTATACACAATTATGTTCATTTCCCTTTTGTCCCAATGGAACCAATTACTCTGAGACGAAACTGGGTAGGAGTTACCATTATTTTATAGGCGAGGAAATGGGAACAGAAGAGTTGATCAGATTTGATACAAAACCTTCCAATACATTTGGGATAATCAACAACACAGGAGTAAGAAAATCATTTGGAAAAAAAGAGCTCCCCCCCACCCCCTGCCAAATAAAACTGCTTCTCTTGCTATAAAGCAAGCTCAGTTTTTCTAATCTATACCCATTCCTTTGAGATCTTTGGCGAATCTACTTTAACAGGAATTAAAGCATATTTTCTGATAATACCCACTGAAGGTAACACAGGTAAAGAGGCATATTCCTGGAATCCATAATTAAGTTCATTTTAGTAGTATCATTGGAATGGCTTGTTTGAAATCTCAACTGCAGCTACTGACATTCTTTATTTGGAGGATGACTGACTACACACTTTTAAGAAGTGGTCAGGAGACAGAGGCTTTGTGATTCTTTTCAAGTAGTGTTTAATACTATCACCATACACACCATTAAATTACACCTTTAGTGAAAGAAGTCTGCATAGTTCAAGACTTCTCTTTTCTCATGGCCACTCAAGATCCTCCTGCAATTTAAACTTTCTCTTCCTTATTTTACTGAGAACATAACCATCATTAATGCCCCATTAGCCACAAGGGCTTTTGATGACTTCTTGACTCCTCCTTGTTGATACTTACTACCCATTACCCACTGCAGGCATGGATGCGTGCCCTCCCTGGCTCCCGGCTGCTTCCTCTCTCCCTTGGTTCTATGTTCTAGTCCCAGGACCTTTTGTGCTGACCTGCCAAGGAATCCCACATATGTACATAAAATCTGCAGTCCTCATCTAGTCCAAAGTCACTCATATACTTTCCATTCTTCTGGCTTGTTACCCCTGTCATGTCTCTGGAAATTCAGACACCTTGGCATTCAGGTAGGCGCTCTCAGAGCCATGCTGTTATACATGGAATGCTTGTAATTCTAACCATATTCAAAACTCAGCCAAACTGTCCCTTCCTGATTTTTCTAATATCTTATAGCTGAACTCTCATAGCATTTCTCAGTGCTCCTACTAGTACATGTCATTTCTTTATTATGTGCATCGCCTTTTCATAACTAGTCTTGAGAGCAGGATGTCTTTGATTCATATGGCTGTCAGAGCACTCAATGTAGTACCTAGAACAAATACCTGGAACTTAAATACTGGGAGCTGATAATATTCAGATGGATAAGAAATGACACAGCATGAAATCAGAGTTGTATCACAGAGCAGCCAGTCTGGAAGTGTGTGATCTGAGATGTTGGGAGCATTCCAGTTGAGAACACTTTAATTTAGCCCAAGGAAATCTTTTATCAAAACTTCTCCCCCCAAGAAAAAGAAATTCCCTTCAAAAATTTTAGGACGATAAAGAAGTTCTTTTTCATTAGGATTTACAATAAGTTGAAATATTGGTGAAGTTCTTGGCATTAATTGGGAAGTTAATGATCTACAGCTCTGAAAATAGTATTAATGTGATTTTGTTGGCATGTGTCCTGTTATAATGCACTCTTAACAATAACATGCTAGTTAATAGGTGAGGGCAAAGTCGTAGGCAAATAGCATTGGTTACTCATTGGAGTAAGATTAACTTTTCCATCAAAGTGCACCTTGCCTTATCAGGATCCTCTGCAGCTTATTTGGGACTAATCACTTTTAATTTTAATTAGTCATATTATTTTCCCTTGACGTGGTGAATATAACAACTCTCCCTACTGCCTCTGTGTCCTGTATCCAGTGAAGAAGCTCTTACACCTCTCCGTGCCTGCCTGGTCTCTAATGAAAAGATATGAGGCTGGAAACATGAACAAAATGACTGTTTCTCCTCAGGCTCCTGTATGAACTGATGATCATTTGTCTATAATCTTCATTTTCTTTGAACTTCACTAAAATGCTGGTTAAGGTGTGAATTTCAATTAGGATTAAACAACCAAAGGAAAAGTGGAGCAAACTATATGAAGTAAGCTTCTAAGATGATGTCCTTCAGACAGTTCACATTCATTCTTCAGAAGTGAGTGCCTACTTCTCCTCATCCTACTTTTTCTTTTTCCTTATTTTTCAGCAAGGGAAAGCATGTACACACACGCAATATGCAGCAGTTTCATAGAAACTTTTAAATTGTAATACTTGTGATAGTTATACTGGAAAGTACTTTAAAATAATTCACCACAGGGCCAGGAATAACTGACATTCCTTTGCAAAGATAGAATTTCATTGCACTGGAATGACACAGACACTGATAACTTTTTAGTTTGAATTCTAATAACTTTTTTAGTTTGAAAAAAAAATACTTTCAACATGAAAATTATTTGGACATAGAGAAATTTCCTTTATCACAGGTAAAATTCTACCCGTAATGGTCAAAAATTTTCTGTATTTGCCTCAAGCAAGTTTTGAGAACACAAACACAAAGTGTTATATTATATGGGCTGTATCTGTAACCACACAAAGCAGTGTTTCTCTCTTTATGTATAAATAGTTGGAGGGAGTAGAAGAAACAATAAAAGAGGAAGATGGTATATAATGAAACGGAAGCAGGGAAATAACTGAGTCAGCTTATCTTGGAAGAGGCACTCTAAGTACTTTATTTCCACCAGTTACAATATCTACATTGTCTAAGATCAGTATATTCTGTTATTTTTTTGTCATCATTGGGCTCCATAATGTGATTTCATTTCATTTATTATAACTGCAAGATATTCTTCTATATGATATACTTTGATCTGTGGTCAAAGTATAAATATGCTAACAAGACATATGGCACCTTCCATCTTATCTTGTGTCTGTCTGTTATGCTGCAGGGTTAGAAATCTGCTACACAAATCCTAACACTGTCAGCACTTAGTGTAGCTTTCCTTAAAACACAAAACAAAAACAGTACTCTTGTAAACAGAACATCGTGAGATGTGGAATTTGACTGATAATTTCTATATATCATCTTGAATTACACAAATTTGGTGACTCTCCTATATGCTTACTCATTATCAAGAAATTCTTGAAGACATTTTAAAGTCAACATTTGTTAAAAGGCCTCTGCAGAGAACTTGTGTTGGTGTAATCAATCTTCTGAGTAGTTTGAGGTTAGAAGTAGATTTTTACCGAGGCAAGCACCAACAAGTAATGACGTGGTCTAGAAGACTGAACAACCTCACTTCTTTACCACTTATTTCAAGTGGCTTATCTGGGTCTGTTTACTTCAGTTTTAGGTCAGTCAGGGCATCAGAGACTTCCTCATTGACCTGTGCAGAAACGCTTGCTGGGGTGACGTTGAGATGGATGTCATATTGCTGGTCCATGCCAAGATAGCAGTCACTCATGAAGTACAGTGTGTAAATATACCTAAAATGTGAAATTAGAGCAGAAATGTAAAAATACTTTTTTGTCACAGTCATAATAAAATTATCCAGAACTTTGGTGGTAAGGTTCTGCTTACCTCCCAGGTGCTTCAGGGGTATAAAAAGAAATGGAAACAACATGATGATTTCGAACATATCCTACTCTTTTCAAAGCAATAAGTTCTCTCTTATCCACTTCTCCTAGTATCAAAAACCATCCTTCATCTTTCAACTTGGGAAATCGAGGGGCAACTGCATGGCTGTCTTGCTTTCCCTGCAAGCCAGAAAAAAAAAGACAACATGATGTATCACATTGTAAGTGTCAAGATTTTCTATATTCACTTGGTTGCAGCTAGAAGATTGTATCTTATTTGAAGGTGATATCTTTCATGTACTGCTAACTGGGATGTTTTTCATTTTCTAGTTTGACATCTTTGATATTCTCTCACCTACCTTTTCTCAAGGTCTACAAAGCACATTACAAATACTACGTTGTGGTTAAAACTGCCAGAATATTTGGTAGAGTTAGAATGGAAAGACCCAAATCTTGACATCAAATCCTCACTTCAATTTGATGAATGATACTGACATTCCATTTGCAGGTGAATACACGAGATAAACCATGCTAAGCAACTATTCCAAAGCATTGTTGACAAGAAATGGGGGAAAAATGGCATCAAAAGTAGAATCTGTACCTCAAGAGAGTAAGTACTATATCATATAAACACCTTCTCTTTATCCAAGAACAAAACTCGCATGTATTCTAATGTGGTAATATTAAAAAGTCCTTTTCTGAGGCACAGGAAATTGTGAGGCAAGCAATTTATAAAAGACATTAATCACCACAATCCAAGATTAGATATCATGATAATGACAGCACTTGAAGTCTTTATTTTAGATTCATTTTACAAAATACAAGATTATTCCAGTGATTCTTTAAGACAATGACTTTTTTGCATAAAATGTATTTATAATGACACGTACCAATAATGACATGATCTTAATCAGATTCCATTCAGTATTCTTTTGAGAGATATTTCACTTAAGGTATTTTAACAGAGAGGTCAGGGATTAATGTATTTTTATAGCATTTAGAAACACAATTTAGAGCTTTTCTAGTATGCTAAATCTAATGCTTAAGTAGCAATAATAAGGTAAAAGTCTCCCCCCCCAACTTTACCTGTATGATTATCATTTTTTTATAAGTCAACAGATATGAAGCCATCTAAAAATGTCCACAATAAAATCTACAAAATGCTAATGCTTATTAGAATGAGGTGGGACTTGAAGACACAGCTCTGACAAGACAGCCTGACATCAGAAAGTTAACGACTATTTTGCATGTGAAAACAGAGGGGCTACCACTACAACTCAATCCTGATGTGTTACCCCAGATCTGGGCAAGCTCTTGACTCCCTTGGGCTAAAGAGAAGACTCTTACTCAATCACTATGGCACTAAAACCTATCTGCCTACATCGTGGGCACCAATATCTTTAGAAGGCTAAGTAATTAATTTTGGTGTAACTGGCAACAGAAACGAGCACAATCATTTAAAATAAAAATACTGTAAATTTTTTACTTCTATGAACATTGCCAAAGCTCTCTCATATGCATTAAAAAGAAGTTCCCTAAAGGATGCAGGCAGAACAGGCAATGGAGGTGTAGAAAAGTCTTATTCAAATGCACAGAGCTAAGTGAAGGAGCTTTCTTCTCAACTACACCTGCCCCAATGTGCTCCTGAACCCAAGGTACCTCTGGACAATGCACCTCAAACTTTAATACCTTTAAAAACTCAGTGCTTTATAAAGGCACAAATTTTGAGGTCCCACCCTGAGATTCTGATACTGTCACTCTGTGAAAGACCAAGGAAATCTGCACTCTTGCAGGCATCCCAGGAAATTCTGCTGGACTGAGTCTACAGACCATACTTGGGTACAGAACTCTAGGCAGCTCATTATTATATAAGGTGGATATTCTAGGGTTGAAATATGGCACATGAGGAGAAATGACTAATTTCAGAAGACTGACTCTTGCTGCTTAAGGCCAGTTGAGAAAGCAGGATTCATGAATGACACGGACACATTAGTAATATGAAAGTTATGTGTGGTGGTGCACGCTGGCATCTGGTGTGAAGCATTTGAGAATGGAAACCAAACATTATACCTTTTGGAACCCAGTGTGGACTCTCTGCAAGCCGACTTGAAGCACATACTCTTGATCAGCATGCAATTTGATCCATCTGTTGTCATTTCGTTTGTCTGAAGTCACAGTTGTGATAGAGAGTTCGTTATGTCCTTCAACCGAGTCATCCCACCAGCCTTTAACACTTAAGCCAATATCTATCACAGGCAAGTGAGATATGAAATTCCATGCCTGAACAAAATAAGAAAAGACAGTAAAGGAATGGCTACTGTGAAATGCAGTGATCAAATAAGAGGCAGTGGTCTTTTAAAACAGTCAACCTCTGATTTGAAACTAATTCTGATTCAATGCAACTGTAAGGGAAACTACACAGAAATCTTGTGCACCATTTCCCCAGCTTCCCCCAACGGTAGCACTTTACAAAACTAAATTATGATATTAATACTGGGATGTCCACACCATAGTTGTTCACAGACTTCCCCTGTTTTTCTTCTCTTCATTTATGTATGTGTCAAAAGAATATTCTTTTAATCTCTGTTATACAAATCCTTTGACGTGCAACCCAAAAAGAATTAATATATTTGTTAATGTGTGACCACTTTAGTGTAAGTCTTTCCTAGATATTGAATGGGTATTAACTACACTAATAAATATTAAAAACATTTGTTGTTGAACTAAAGCCTCTATTCTAATATTTATATGACTCCTCAGGTGACAGGTATTACTTGGGGAATAAAAAGGCAAC